TATCCTGTCATTTCAGGGCCTCCGAAACTGTGATAGGTAGTGAGGAAGTTACGCACCTTCAGGCCTTCAAAGTGGTCATTGGATTTCAGGCTCCTGTATGCGGCTAGGCTCCCAAAAAGTCTCACATATGTGGTATCCCCATACTTGGTAGAAGTAGCAGAATGAATTTTGGCATGTAATTCCACCTATACCCATGGCTTGTGTGAGAAATATATAATTTAAATGACAACTTTGGGTAAAAAAAATTTGTTTTTTTGTCATTTTCCAGAAACTTGTGGAAAAAAAATAAATCATCCATGGATTCAATATGCCTCTCAGCAGATAGCTTAGGGTGTCTACTTTCTGAAATAGGGGTCATTTGGGGAAGTTTCTACTATCCTGGTATTTTAGCACCTCAAGAAATGTGATGGGCAGTCAGAAAGTAACAGCTGTGTAAATTGCAGTATCTATACCATAGTTTGTAGACACTATAACTTTCTCACAAAGCAATCAATATACACTTATTGGTATTTTTTTTTTAACCAAAAACATGTAGAAAAAATTCATTTTGGCCTAAAATTATGACGAAATTTGAGTCATTTTGGATATTTTTTATGACAAAAATGAAAAAATAGTTTTTTTTCAAAAATGTTTGTTTATAGCGCCAAAAATAAAAAAGCACAAAGGTGATCAAATACCACCAAAAGAAAGCTCTATTTGTGTGAAAAAAGGACAAATTTAATGACCGAGCAATTGTCAATTAAACTAGTGCAGCGCTGTATAGCAAATAAAATGGCGTAAATTGCAGTATCTATATCATAGTTTGTAGACGCTATAAACTTTTACTCAAAGCTATCAATATACACTTATTTGGATTTTTTTTTTCCAAAAACGTAGCAGAATACATTTTGGCATAAATTTATAACTAACTTTGTGTTTACTATATTATTTGTTATAACCAAAAGTAAAAAATATCGTTTTTCTTCAAAATTTTCAGTCTTTTTTTGTTTATAGCGCAAAAAATAAAAAGCGCACAGGTGATCAAATACCACCAAAAGAAAGCTCTGTTTGTGTGAAAAAAGGTCGTAAATTTCATTTGGGTACAGCATTGCAGGACCGTGCATTTATCAGTTGAATTAGTGCAGCGCCAAGTAGCAAAACTACTTGGACATTAAGGGGGGTAAATCCTCTGGAAGGCAAGTGGTTAAACATGTCCAGTAAAAAAATTTAAAAATCAAATTTTGGATGGCGGGGCTGGCGGACATCTGGAGGGAACTTCACCCAACTGAGTGTGACTTTACATTCTATTCCTTTTTTTTTTTTTTAATTTAAATATTTATTCATTTTCAAACAAACCAATACAAAATACAAAGTTTCACGATAGATAATACAACATACCAAAAAACCCTTATTTCGTATCTTTTCTCCCACTAATCCCCTTTCTTTCAACCCACCCTCCACCCCCTCCGGCTTCTTTAAACCCATGACATCTATCTGATCGACTTGTATCTCACATCCTCTGGATACAAAGAATTGGAAGATAGAAAGAATGACAAATTACTATATTTTCTCCTTTTTCTTTCCCCTTTCTCTCTTCACGTTCTTTCTTTCCCCTTTTTTTGCTCTTACTTATTCAGTACCTTCTTTTACCTTTACCTTAAATTCCTCCCATTTCTCCCATTTCTTATAATATGCTCCCATCCTATCTTCCTGTATATAATAAAGTTTTTTCCAATCTCGCAATCTGGTCAACTCTATTTATCCAGTCCTCTACTCTCGGTGCCTCAACTTTGCGCCAAAACCTGGGGATCAAACTTTTTGCTGCATTTAGGTAACTCCCTATACCCAATTCTCTATATTTATTCTCAGATATTATTGGGTTATGAAAAAGACAGGTTTCAGGGTCCAGTCCGATCTCTGTTCCAGTAATGATCCTAATTTGATTTATGACTTTTTTCCAATATATTTGTATTTTTAAACAAATCCCACCATATTTACATTCTATTCCAATCCTCATGACAGTTTTTGTAGAATTGACCATATATTCATGCATGTTCAGCAGCTTCCCTTGGTCAGGCGGATAGCTATTCCCTCCTTGCCATCTCTGGGTCGGAACGGCTCCCTTTTCATTGGCGCATTAATGACTCTTTATTGACCACTCAGATTACCTGCCAACAAATAGAATTTTTCTTACGAACATACTTCACGGAAAACTCGGGATCGGTCTCTTCGGCAGTGCCCCTATGGGAGGCGCATAAGGCCAGGGTGTGGGGTCATGTTATACAGCTGGCACCGGTCCAGAAGCGGGAACACAGACTTTTTGGAGCTTCATTCTCTCCTGGCCTCTGTGGATGCACATTGGAAGTCATCTCCATCCGCGGCCCATAAACACGCTCGGGACGCCCTGGAGGCAGAGTTGGACCTACTTGCCTCTTCGGAGGCGGAACGGGCCCTGCGTTGGACCAAACACAAATTTTATTCCTGTGCTAATAAGCCGGGCCCGATGCTGGCCAGGAAACTCAATTCTGTGGGGAAACCCCATAAACCGATTCGACTGCGACTTCCCGCAGGTAGCTGTACTTCTAATCCCCAGCAGATTGTATCCCATTTCGCAGACTTCCTTTCGCGCCTTTACGCTAAACCAGATCCCTTCCCTGTGGCTCAGGCAGAGGCATTCTTTCAAGATCTCCGACTTCCTGGATTATCCGAGACAGCACAGATGGCCCTCAACGCCGGAGTCACCGTATTGGAAGTGCTCCAAGCTATCAAATCTTTACGGTCCACCGCGGCCCCAGGTCCCGACGGCTTCTCTGGTCTCTATTATAAGAAATGTTCAGCCCTGTTGGCGCCCTTTTTGGCTGATTATTTTAATGAGTTATGACAGGGCTCCTTGCCCGCTCCGGACGCGCTTAGAGCGCATATCTCCATGATTCCTAAGACGACCGATGATGTGCAGGAACCGCAAGCCTTCCGGCCCATTTCTCTTCTTAATGAAAACCTTAAGATATTGGTCAAGATCCTTAGTCTTTGTATCAATAAATATTTGTGTAGGGACAACAGGGACCAAATAGGTTTTGTCCCTGGGAGGCAGGTGGGTGAAAACCTTTGTAAAGTGGTCCATCTTATACATTTTCTGCAACAGCGGCAAATACCGGGATTCTTACTGTCCTTAGACATATATAAAGCCTTTGATTCTCTATCCTGGGAATATCTGTGGTTTGTGCCCACTCGTTGGGGTTTTGGGGATTCTATTCTTTCTTGGATTCAAGCCTTGTATTCTTCCCCTTCCGTTAAATACGCTGGGTATTTCTCGGATCCCTTTCCTATTGGGTGAGGGACGAGACCGGGCTGCCCCTCTGTCCCTGGCGCTCTTTGTCCTGGCGCTTGAGCCGCTGGCTTTAGCGCTCCGGACCAATTGCAATGTATCGGGGGTTCCATACGCGGGACAGGAGTTCAAGTTGAACCTTTTTGCGGACGATGCCCTCTTGACTCTCACTAATCCCCTGATGACGCTTCCTAATTTGCATCCGGTCCTTGATTTTGGGTCTCCGTATTAACTTGGATAAGACTGGCGCTCTCAATATTACTTTGGCCTCAGATTTGGTTTCGCGCCTACAATCCCACTTCCCTTACAAATGGGTTTCTTCTTCTCTTGAATACCTAGGCATTCGCTTGACCCACACTTTTGACTCCATTTGCTGCAAATTATTATCTATTGCTTCACTCTATATCCTCTCTTATGCATTCTTGGCAATTTTCGCACCTGTCTTGAATAGGACGGGTTAATTCAGTGAAAATGACCATCTTGCCTAAACTGTTATATTATTTTCGCACCCTCCCAGTGCGGGTTCCCCCTCATTTTCTTCGGTTGATTCAGGCGAAGATTATGCGTTTTATCTGGGTCGATAAGCGCCCCAGAGTCTCCAGAAATACGCTTTATGTTCATAGACTCCAGGGTGGTCTTGGGGTGCCTAACGTAACTAAGTATTATCAGGCGAGCCAGATTGCCCTGCTGTCTATGTTGCACGCTTCCTCTGATGTTCCTCTCTGGGTCCTGCTGGAACTACCTAATTGTGCCCCTATCGCAACATCAACGCTTCTATGGCTTCCCCATGCCCTGCACCCTATGACACCGAGTCCGATGTTGTTCCATTGCTTGCAAGTCTAGGACTCGGTACGTTATTCCAGTGGCCTGATGTCACCTTTTCTGCCTTTGCTCCCAATTATTAACAACCCTCTTTTTCTTCCGGGTATAGATCAACCGAGGGCATTTTCTTGGTGGGTGGCCAATGGTTTTTCGCAGGTGCAACACTTTTTCATTTTTCGGTCCTTCCCCACCTGGAATTCTCTTCGGGAGTCCCGGGATGTCCCCCCTGCAGAATTTTTTCGATACCTTCAATTGCGGCACTGGCTGCTTTAGCTGCGGGGCACTTCTGCTTTCCTGTACCGGAAATCTGCCTTTGAACAGCTTTGCCAACAGCGCCCTGGGCCTTATCTCCCTTCTTTATGCAGCTTTGAACAAACGCTCATCGCATACTTCTTTCATATGTTGTTCAGTGGAAGTGCGACCTGGGAGTGGCTATGGATCCGGAGAACTGGAATAGGGCCTGGTCACTTATAGCTAAATGCTCATTTAATATGATCACGCTGTAGGTGGCCTATAAAAGTATTGTTTTGTTGGTATTGGGTTCCGGCTCGTCTGGCCCAGGCAAACTCTGCCTGTAGTGATCGATGCTTTTGGGGTTGTGGCCATCGTGGAGATGTATTGCATACCTGGTGGTCATGCCCGAGACTGTTTTGTTTTTGGTCTCGAGTGTTTGGCCTCCTTTTCACCTTGTTCCATCTCTCCATATGCCGGAATGCTCGGTATGCTTTGCTTCACTGCCCCCATAGCGGGCCTGTCAGGGCTCCCAGGTGTGACCAGAGGTGTGTGACTGACGCAGGGAAACGCAGACTTCAGATATGTGATAAACAATATAATTTATTAACACTAACCATACAAACATAAACGCAGTGCAATACTAAAACATAATACAGTGCAAACAAACCAAACCAACCACCCACAGATAACAGTACATACAAGCAAGCGTCGTCAGGCAGGCCGGGTCAATATCAATAGGGCAGGTAGGTACAGGGGGAGCAAGCGGAGATGGGTCGGGGTCACAGGCCAGGTTCAGCAGGTAGCTAGCAGCGTAGTACAGAGGGTCAGGCAGAGGGATGGTCAGGGTCACAAGCCAGGGATCAGAACAGGTAGCAAGCAGCGTGGTACAGAGGGTCAGGCAGAGAGATGGTCAGGAGCGAGCCGGGATCAGAGCAGGAGAAGTCAGCAGCGGTTCAGATCAGGCAGGGTCAGCAAAGGAACAGAAACAGGATGCAGGACAGATACAGGGCCCAGGACAAACACAACACCAAGGCAGAGTCTGCAAGTCTGGCCATCCCTTAAATACACCAGTATCATCAGTTCCAGGTGTTAGCTGGCTGAAAGGTTGAGTCTCTGATTGCTGGGAGCACCCGCTGGCCAGCCCTGGTACTGCAGATCAAAAGGCAGGTGAGTCCCACCATTGCTGGCCAGTCTATTCCTGACAGGGCCTCTTGGCTCACCATCAGAAGTTGGCTTCCTATTTGTTTTTATCGGCTACTAAAACAATTGCTCGGGCCTGGAAGAGCCAGTTTGTCCCTCTTCAGGGGGTGCGGGATCGTATAACCACTCAATGAACAGATGTCAAGTATCTGCAACAACTCCCAACGTAAATTTTTGAAAATATGGGAGCCGTGGTTGCAATATGCCTTTCCCATGCTCCCCCCGGCTAGTCTGGGGATGTGATGGTGTTCGGTATTGACGTTCTTGGACCCCTGCTCTTTGGATTTTCTATATTATTTTTTTTTTTTCCCCTCTTTGTACTCCTTTCTTTTTCTGTTTGTTTTTGGTGTGACTGTGGATAACTGCTTTTAGTTTGTTAGTCAGAGTTGCATCAATGTTCTTGTAATTTATGTGCCATTGATAGCCCCTGCATGGGCATACCTTTTGCCCTGTTGGTGTTAGAGCACTGTTTTTTCTATTTTTTATATGTGCAATTGTTTGCCCCTGCGTGGGCGTGTTTTGTTGCCTCTGTTTTATACTGTTTAAAGATTAATAAAAAAAAAACACTGAATTAAAAAAAAAAAATCAAATTTTGTCATAAATTTAGGCCAAAATGCATTCTGCTACGTCTTTTGCTAAAACAAAAAATCCCAATACATGTAAATTAATAGTTATGTGACTATTATAGCATTTACAAATGGCGGTATATATGCTGGAATTTTTTTTTTTTCTTTTACTAATAATGGCGGCGATCAGTGACTTATTGCGGGACTGTGGTGGGCTGACACTGGGGGGGGGGGGGGATCTGACTTGGTGTCAGTGACATCCCAAATGACACCAATACAGTGATCATTGCTAACAAAAAGCACTGACACTGTACTAAAGACACTGGGCAGGAAGGGGTTAACATGTTATGCGGAGCCATACATAGCAGTGTGCAGGAGCTGACAGGGGAGAGATCTGTATTGTTTATATACATGTCTCTCCCACGTCGGAAATACTCGGAGATCGCCGGGTGCCAGTGGGAAATCACTGGTTGGGACCCAGTGATTGACAGCAGAGGTCGAGAATAGTGGCGCAGGTAGGGCATGCGCACGCCCCCTACCCAGAACTGCAAAATCACGTATATACATACGTGCCACCCTATAGCAGTATCTCTGCTACAGGGCAGCGCGGAAGAGGTTAATGATGAATGGATGATTAGAGAGCTGCATTACTTTGTGCGTTCTATATCTGCATGGAGTTCACTTTTAAACTTACTTTGGTATGTTTAATCCTCCAATTGTGTGTCTGTGAATGCTGTAATAAAATGGAGGATGTTCTGCTCGAGTATCATTCTTTAGACGTTTAGGAATATTTGTATTCGTGTCTTGCCGTTTTCTTTTACCTAAAAGCACAACAAAAACACTTCAGAAAAGAGCACAAAAACAACTTTGTACAACAACTCCAGATGAATGTTTGATATACAATCGGACACACAATGGCAGCCCATACCCTCACAGTCACATATGGATATCAGCCTACAGTGAGATGGCTTTTTGAGGGAAAAGTAATCAGCTCAGCACTGTTTTTTAGATTTCAGGAAGAAACGACTTAAGTTACTTAAGTAACTGTAGAAAAGTCACACACACACTGTGAAAACATACTAACACCGTGTAGATAGTGTACCTACTACCATATTGATTAAACATTATTTTGTGAACGTTCAAACATAACATTGGAGAATACTTCTAACGGGTGCAACTAATCTAATGTTGGCCATATATGGCTTGAATTTTGAGCCATGGGTGGCCCTGTTGGCACTACCTGGCACGACAAACCTTGAACTGTCAAACGAGACATTGAAAATTCTTGGCCCAAAAGTTAATAGGATGCTGTCACCGTTCAGGTATTTTAACAGCTGCGGGAGCATAAAAAACTAAATGTGTTTGGAAATTAAAATGAAAATGTATGCTTTCTTTATGACATAAAGCACTCCGATGAATCAGAAAAGCTCATTACTTACTCATACAATCTAACATTTGATTGTTTGAGATTTGCTGAAGTTAAGATTTGCCGCAACTGGTTACAAATCATCTTACTTTTTCACACACACACACGAAAAAAAAAAAAAAAAAAAAGTATAAAAATAATGCTTCTTTCAGAATCGGTACTTGTATTTGAATGTAAGTTTGGACTTCCAAGTTCAGAGCTTAACAGCTGTGGTGAAGACCCATAAATGAACATACAATACTATCTTATTGTAGACAAACCTGTACAGATATCAAAGTGTGTGGGCTCACATAGGATCAATTACAGTGCATCCACAAAATCTGGATAACATTTTATGCAACAGAAAGGACTTGTTCACACAGTGTGGACCAGGGTGGTAAAAAGCAGGCGGTTAAGCTGCGGTTTTACCGACCCCCAAACACCCACCTAAAATTGGTGCATGAAGTCGCTCAGGGCTGTACACAAGCCATGCAGTTGTGGAGGGTCAGCATTTTGAGGGTTTTTAACAAATTGTGAGCCTTTCTGAATTGTTATCCACCGTGTTTTATTTTAAAGGGACCCTAGTATAATTTTGAGATTTCCCCACAGTGGCTTGATGATATTAAGGTCAGTAGATTGTGATGGCCACTCCAGAACCTTCACCTTATTCTGCTGTATCCACTAGAGGGTCAACTTGGAAGTGTGCTTAGGGTCATTGCCGTGCTGGAAAGTCCAAGAGCCTCCTAGGGGCAGCTTTTGTCCAGAATGCAAATTATCTGCCAGTATTTACTGATAACATGCTGCATTCATTTTGCCAGCACTTTTCACAAGATTCCCTGTGCCTTTAGAGCTCACACCCCCCAAAACATCAGTGAGTCACCACCATGCTTTACAGTTGGGATGGTATTCTTGACGCTGCTGACCCCTCTCCAAACAGAACGCTTATGGTTGTGACTATAAAGCTCTATTTTGGTCTAGTCACTCTAGGTTACAGTGTGCCAGAAGCTGCAAGGCATGTCAAGGTGTTGCCTGGCATATTGTAACCGGGCTCATTTGTGATAATGTCGCAGTAAAGGCTTCTCTCTGGCAACTCGACCATGCAGCTAATTTTTGTTCAAGTATTGTCGTTTTGTGCTCCTTGAAACAATCACACCATCTTTTTCAGAGCAGCCTGGATTTCTCCTGAGGTTACCTGTGGGTTTTTTCTTTGTATCCTGAAGAATTCTTCTGACACTTGTGGCTGCAATCTATCTACCTGAGCATGGCTTGATAATCAAGAGATTCCCAAATTTTCACTTCTTATTAAGTGATTGAACAGTAGTGACTGGCTCAGGCCCATCTGGAGGGACACTGGGGATGCCATGCAAAGGATGGCAGCTGTGGCAGTCTACATTGGCAAGCCAGGTAAATGTGTGCCTGGAGGAATGCCGTTCAAACATAGTTGATGGGTGCAGGGTGTGTGTGCTAATGAAGTCAGGTGGTGAACTGCTTCCCGTGTCTTACTGGTTTCAACATCCCAAATCTACATACCAGTAAATCATGAAGTTTTCTATGAATACAGCAGGGGTTAAGGTAATGCCTTGTTCTAAAAATCAAAGGAGGCTTATTTTTCTGCAACAGAGGTACATTAATGGTATATTGGTACATAGGAGAGCTGGAACTTGGAAAAAAAAAGGGTGAACTTAGCCTTTAAAAAGGAGTCAAACAACTATATGATAATAAATGGCTTCATATGATCACTATCCTCAAATATAAGACACCTGTTTGACACGATAAGTCATATTTTCATGGTCAATGCCAAAATTTTCACAATTTTTGCCAGGGCATGCAAACTTTTGAGCACAACTGTATATTCACACATATACATTCTTTATATTCCAAATAAACATTAAATACAGTATTCAGAAGGGAGCATTCCACATTAGTTATTCTTATTTTTCGCTGGGCCTGTCTGACTAAGCCATAGGACAAAGATTTTGGATGAGGATGAAGCAAATGTCTGATTCATTCACTTGTTTACTGAACTCAGTTGCTCAAAGTTTACATACACACAGATTTTTACAACAAAAGAAAAAATGAAAATCAGTCAGGAGCTCCATTAGATGGCTGGTTAGAGTATATACTAGTCAGATAACATGAACAGTATGTAGTGTAACTAGAACGCCATTTTATATTTACCAGACTTTAAAAAGAAAAAAAAAATCTGTTTACATAAAAGCAGGATTTTTTGTTACGCACCATAAAATCCCTTTCTCGGAGTTCATTGATGGACACAGCTTCTTCTTCTTTATCTATAACCAAAAAGGGATTTATAGCCCCACCTACAGGAGTAGGACACTAAGCAGAAGAAAAACTCGGAACCTCCTATGAGCAGTCCTCTCTGGGCGTAAAACCCCCTCTCTGCTATAGGCCTCCAGACAGTTATAAGCAGTGTCAAAAGGAGAAAGCTCCATAGAGGGGTGAGTGCTGTGTCTGTGAATGAATGAGGGATTTTTCAGTAAAAAAAAAAAAAAAGTAAAAAAAAAATCCCGTTTTCTCTTACATTGACGGACACAGCATCTTCTTCTTTATAGACAAACAGGGATGTCCCAAAGCAGTGCCACAATGAGCAACCTGCCAACAATCTGGACCACATTGAAGGGGTGCCCAAGAGTCAGAAACAGCTGCCTGCAAATTAAGCAGCCAAAACTACCAACAGAGGATAACTAACAGATCAACTGTAGAACAATGTCAGAAACAAGAGCATAGAAGCCCAGATGGCCACAATGTAAACTTGAGATAGACAATGGATGTCAGAATGCCCAGGCGGCGCTAACCAGCCTGGTAGAGTATGCCATCACGAGGAAGGGAGGATCTTGCCACAAATTGCGTAAGCCTACACACG